GGATCCAGAGCAGCCCTGGGGAGAAGGATTTGGGGGGGCTGGTGGGTGAGAGCTGGGCATGACCCATCCCTGAACCCCCCCAAGTGCTGGGGCAGCAGGGGAGGGGGGATTCTGCCCCTCTCAGGTGAGACCCTGCCTGCAGAGCTGCTCCAGCCCTGGGGCCAACAGCAGAAGGATGTGGAGCTGCTGGAGAGAGACCAGAGGAGTCCATGGAGATGCTCCAAGGGCTGGAGCCCCTCTACTCTGGAGCCAGGCTGGGAGAGCTGGGGGTGTTCACCTGGAGAAGAGAAGGAACCAGGGAGAGCTCAGAGCCCCTTCCAGAGCCTAAAGGGGCTCCAGGAGAGCTGAAAAATTACTTGGGACAAAGGCCTGGAGGGACAGGACAGGACAAGGGGGAATGGATGAAAAAGGGCAGGGTTAAGTTAGGTACTTGTAATAAATTCTTTATAATAAGGGTGATGTGCTCTGGAAGTGTCCAGGGCCAGTGGACAGGACTTGGAGCAACCTGGGATAGTGGAAGGTGTCCCTGCTCATGGCAGAGGGAACTGGATGTTCTTTTAGGTCTCCAGCCCACACAGTTCTGTGATTCTGTGATTCTAAAGCTGGACATCACTTGCTGAAGTGACCAGTGGATCCTGCCCCAGGGCTGAAAGCAGCTCCCAGAGATCCTGAGGAAGAGGCAGAGATGTTTTGCATACAAATGGATGATTCCCAGCCTTAAGGGTGGAGAAAATTAGAGAATAGGAAAAAAAAAAAAAAAAAAAAAAAAAAAAAAAAAAAAAAAAAAAAAAAGGGAACCAGCTGTCACTGTCTTTAGTAACAGCCAGAAGTCATGAGAGCAGATGAGGAGACCAAAATAGCAACACCAAACCTCAGCTCTGTGTCTGGACCCTTCAGATTTCCCTGCAAACGTGGTTGGGTTGTCCAGTTCCAAAGCTTTGTTGTTGATTCGGCCATTCCTCTGGTTTCATTTGGAATTCAGTTTTCCTTATGCACGCAGGCACGGTCTGTGTGGGTTTGTTTTGGTTTTCTATTAATTGCTGTATTTTCCTCCTGCACAGCAGGAAAACAGGATGAATCCCCACAGGATCTGGAGTAGCTGTGCATCTCAGGAGCAGGACCACAAGAAGATTTTATGTTCCCATCACTGTGCTAGGGCCATGCTAGAGGCATCTGGGAGGAAAAACAAATCCATATGCTCTGGGTTCCTACTCTGGGAAGAAAGAAGGTGATTAGAGCCCATCCAAACACACTGAAGGTCAGAGCTTTAACTCCTTACCCACTTTCCTGTGCTCTCCTGCTGAGATACCAGCAGCTGTCCGTGCCTTTCAGTAAAGAAATTCCATTTATACATCCTGATAGTAGTTTTCCATGTTTTTCTTCTCCACAATTAGGAAAAAACCCAAGAGCTAGAACCATCTAAAGATTTACCAGAGTGCGTAGGAATAGCAAATACTCCAAGAAAATGATGTCAGAAATGCCTGAGCTGGTGAAGATGCAACGGGGTGAAATTCTCCAGCCTATGTTAGGGAAAAGGTCAGGAGAGAGGATTAAGAAGGACTTCTTCAGCGTTAAATTATTTGTGATGAGAGTCAGGACAACACTCTGCTTGTGAGAGTGAATTCACTCCCTGGTTAGGTCCAGCTCCGGCAACAGCAGCTCCAGGAGAGCCCAGTAAATATAAATCCCTTTAATCCCCTGGAAAACATAGAATTTACCCTGATAAAAACATCTCATAGGTGGTCTCACTTCTCCACATAATTTCAGTTCTAAAAAGTGACTTTTTTCCATTCCAAACATTGCATTCCATGTTAATATCCTTCTATTTTATTACAAATAGATTTGAAACCTCCACTCCACTGTGTTGCTTGATGATCAGGTGACACTCCATCGAATTTGGGATAGTCTCCCCCCATTTTTGGAGCTGTGAATGAGCCACAAGCCTCTCCCCTGCCCTTCATGGGTGAGGCAAAGCTACTCAGCAGCCAGGAAAGCGAATAGATGGCAAATTGATAATTGCACTGTGGCTTGAAAATTCACATTTAGTTGAACTAAGAGGAAAAAAAACCCAAACCAAAACAAACAAACAAAAAAGACAGCAACAGCAACAAAACTCCACAACGTCCCAGAATCTTAGAAGGATCACAGGGTACCCTTAAACCTCAGAAACCCCAAGTACAGGTGGGTGCTGACACACAGAGGTGTGAGGAAGGGATGAGAAAATCCACGCTGAGTGCTGTTAGAGTGCTCCGTGTGCAATTCACCCATGGATGTTCCTGCATCCACCCTTGATCCTTCTGTTTCTCTGCAAGCCCTCCAGACCCGGCCCTCTCTGTGCTAAGTGCTCAATTCCTGTTTTTTTCTAGTGGATAGGAAGTGCTAAATGTCCCTGTGAGCTTTTGCTGCCTTTTCACCCCATAACCTCCAGAATGCAGCAGGGAGGTGAACACAGGGAGACCTTGGCCACAATCCTGGGGATCCCAAAAGCCAGGGAAGACTTCTTGCTTCTTCCCAGCCTTCTCCACCTCTCTCCATCCCCCTGTCCTGCTCGGCCTGCCCAGCTCCGATGAATTATTCAGGCAGCAGTTGCTATAGGGCGCTGTCGTGAATAACAACAGCGCTATTTTTATCCCTCACTCCTGTTACCTTTCGGCCAGGAGCGGTGGGGCCCTGCCAGCTCCTGGCAGGAGGAAAACCGCAGCCATCCAAACCCTCTCCGTGTCTGGGATTCGTTTTGACCACCCAAATGTGGGTGAGGTCTTGTGCAATCCGCATAGATGTGCCTGAATCCCACCCTGGTACCTGCTCTGTGTTGTACTCACAGGGTGCTTTGCATGCATGTTTCATTTTTTCCACCCATATTTTATCTGCAGCGGAGCACACAGAGTGTCCATTGCTGGATTTAATATTCTGCCTCCTGCAGAGGGAGAAAAAACATCTCAGAGGTGAAATTTGCAGCAGGCTCTGGCAATTTATGTGGGATAAATCGTATTTCCTTTAGGGACTTAGACAGATTCCTTCAGCCAGTTTAGATCCTCAGTGGATGATGTGCCCATTTAAAAAAAAAAAAAAAAACACAACAAAACCAAAACCAAACACAAATATAAATATTATAAATAGTAAACATTAAACATTAAATATTATAAATAGAAATAGAAATAGAAATATATTAGAAATAGAAATGAAATAGAAATAGAAATAGAAATAGAAGTGCCAGGGGCACACCAAAGGTTTTCTCTGTGCTTTCTTTGTGCTTTCTCCACTCATGAAAACAAGAAATGTCCAACAAATCAGAAGGAAGGGGTGGATTTGAGGAGCAGCTGGAGGGAAATGGGTCCTGCTGAGTGTGCAGAAGCAGGGAAGCTATTCCAGCTGCAGGGAACATCTCTGGAGCTAGCAGGGCAACCTGGAAGATTAAAGGGGGAAAAAAAAAAAGAAAAATGGAAAAGAAAGAGAAATGAAAACAAAAAGGAGAATGAAAAAAAGAAAAAAGTAAGAAAACAGCAATAAAGCATAACATCCTTTGTTTATGCCAACCTGCCAAACTGAATACTGCACCAAATTATTCCAGAAGAGGGCTAAAAGGCCTAAAAAGGAAACTCTGAACTTTCACTTTGACACAGAGCAATGTGAAAAAAATCTCTCAGGAGCAGGACAAATATCCAGGAGTTGGGCTGCACATACCCCAAACCACAGAGCTGCCAGGCATTTCCAGTGAGGGATCTGATCCAGGCACACAAACAGAAAATGGGAAACGGGGCAAAGGCTGTTTCCTGCTCCTCTTCCGCAACGCCAATCGCAGCTGCTCCCTCTGGAGAGAGCAGGCAGTGGGAATTCTGTGCCTCAGAGTCTGCACAGCCCAGCAAACCCGGGGGTGAATATTTATTCCCAGGATTACCCTGGAAAAACTGCTGTGAGCCACAATATCCAGGGGACACGGCCAACTTTGTATGCACGGTATGCTCTGCTGATCAAAACAGTTTTGTCATGGTTTTTATTCTTTTTCTATTTTTAAACAGAGTTTAGATAAAGATTTTTAAGGGATACTGTGATTTTTTTTTTTTTTAAGGGGGAGCAACAGGTTTCCCTGTGAGCAGCAGCACCTTTTGATTCCTGCCAACAACAGGAACTCCCTCCTCCTCTTAGGAGGCTTAAAAGAGGCTTGGAAAAAAGAGGGAAAGGGAGTTTTTACACAAGCAGATAGTGATAGGACAAGGGGGCTGGTTTTTAACTTGCCAGAGGGTGGGGTTAGGTGGAATATTGGGGAAAAAGTCCTTCCCTGTGAGGGTGGGGAAGCCCTGGCACAGGCTGCCCAGAGAAGCTGTGGCTGCCCCACCCCTGGAAGTGTCCAAGGCAAGGCTGGATGGGGCTTGGAGCAAGCTGGGATAGTGGAAGGTGACCCTGCCCATGGCAGGGGGTTGGAATGAGATGAGCTTTAAGGTCCCTTCCAACCCAAACCGTTCTGGGATTCTAAGACACATCGAAAACTGCCTTTTCCATCCCAAATAGCACAGGACCTGTCGATTTTTTTTTCCAAACTGCTGGAATCACACCGAGCCCACGTTAAAGGAAAAACCAACGCCCACCCAGCCTGTACGGGGTGAAAACATCCGGAAACGGGGCTCCCCAAAATACAGCATAAAAAGCAGAACACTAAATTAGTTTTTAATTAGCTTTTAATTAGTTTTTAGTTAGATTTTAATTAGATTTGTTGGTTCTTCTTGGTTTGGGATTCTGTCTGGGTGTTTCTGTCATTTTCGTGTTTGATTTTTAAAATACTTTTTTTCTCTAAAGCGGCATTTTCAGCCCCTGGTGACTTCCAAGAGGCGGAGCCCGGATCACATCCGATCCCCGGCACCCTGCCATGGCCCCGCCCCTCTGCACCGCCCCCGCGCTTTGATAGGATGAACTTCATGTCCATCATTATTTCGCCGCTCTATTGGCTTGCTCTGGGAGTTGCTGACCAATCAGCAGCGCCAAGGGGCGGGCCGAGGGCGGGTTTCCCGCGTGGTGGCGGGAAAGGAGCCGCGTTTGGCGCGAAACGGGAGCGCGGCGGGGACTGATCTGATCTCGGGGTCTGATCGTGAGGTCTGATCTGATCGCGGGGCCAGCCGGCTCCCCTCGCTCTCACCGCTTTCCCCGGCAGCAGCAGGAGCGGCAGCAGCGGCGGAGGGATCCGTCCCAGGGCGGCCGGCAGAATGGCGGCGCCGGCGGGCGGGCTGGAGGACGCGGAGCTGCGGGAGGCGCAGCGCGATTACCTCGATTTCCTGGACGATGAGGTGAGACGAGCTGGGAGGCGCGGGTGCTGCGTCCCCTGCATGCCCCCCGGGGTTGGGGAACACCTGATCTGTGTCCCCATGTCCCCTCCCCCCTGTACCCTCGGGGACTGGGGAGTATCTCATCCCTGTGCGCCCCCGCCCCATGGCTACTTCCGATGTTCGGGAACACTTGGTCCCTGTGCCCTTCCGTCCCCCCTAATCCATGCTCCGGGGACCTGGGAACCACCTGATCCTCCCCGCCATGTACCCCATGGGGTTAGGAACCCCTGGTCCCTGTGTCCCCCCATTACTACCAGGGTTTAGGGAGCACCTGATCCATGTTGCCCCTTCCTGCTTAGGCGGTGGAATAAAGGGCATCCAGCTCTGCAGAAATGGGCCCCTGGGGTTTTTTCAGACATGCAAAGTGAGTTGGTTTTTGGGTGTCTTTCTCTCCCACTTGCAGGAAGACCAAGGGATTTACCAGAGCAAGGTCCGGGACATGATCAGTGAGAACCAGTATCGGCTCATCGTCAACATCAACGACCTGCGGCGCAAGAACGAGAAGAGAGCCAGCAGGTGGGTGTGGGACACCTGGGCCACTGGGCTTGAGAGGGGTTTCAAAGGTCCAGCCCTGGTTCTGCAGGTCATTTGTCACAAGAAAGCACCAAACCTTGTCCTCTGGTGAAAGTCAGGGCCTTCCCACCCTCACAAGGAACAATTCCTTGCCAACATCCCATCTAACCCTTCCCTCTGGAAGCATGAAGCTATTCCCCCTTGTCCTCTCCTTCCATGCCCTTGTTCCAAGTCCCTGTCCAGCTGTCTTGGAGTCCCTTTAGGCACTGGAAGGGGATCTAAGGTCTTCTCCAGGCTGACCAACCCCACTTCTCTCAGCCTTTTTGAGGATGCTCAGGGATATTTTGAACCAGCCTTGCCAGTCTGGCCAGGGTCATGTGAGGCTTTCTAGATATGCTTGGAATTGTTCTCCTCCTGGCTGTGGGTGCCAGTGCACCTCCCACAGAGCTGTGATGGACTTTAGGTTTTTTCACCTCCTGCTCCTCGTCAACTTGTGGAGCACACAGGAGTGTGGGAAAAGAGTTGATGAGGAGGGGGTTGACTCACCTGCTCTGTGACCTCTCTGTGCTGCAGGCTCCTGAGCAATGCCTTCGAGGAGCTGATTGCCTTCCAGCGTGCTCTGAAGGATTTTGTCGCCTCCGTCGATGCCACCTACGCCAAGCAGTATGAGGACTTCTACGTCGGGCTGGAGGGCAGCTTTGGCTCCAAGCACGTGTCCCCACGGACCCTGACAGCCTGTTTCCTCAGCTGCATTGTCTGCGTGGAGGGCATCGTGACAAAGTGTGAGGCTGGGGGACACCCAGGGGCTGCGGGTGTGGAGGGGCCAGGGGTTTGCTGTGGAGGAGCTGGAGCCCTCCAGGAGCTGTGGTGTGGAGAGGGACTTGGGACAAGGGTCTGGAGGGACAAGACAAGGGGCAATGGTTTTACACTGACAGAGGGTAGGATTAGATGGGATATTGGGGAGGAATTCTTGGTTATGAGGGTGGGGAGGCCCTGGCACAGGGTGCCCAGGGAAGCTGGGGCTGCCCCTGAATCCCTGGAAGCATCCAAGGCCAAGCTGGATGGGGCTTGAAGCTACCTGGGAGAGTGGAAGGTGTCCCTGGCCATGGCAGGGGGTGAAAATGGGTGATCTTTAATGTTCCTTCCAATCCAAACCATCCTGTGATTCTGTATGCTGGCAACCTGGGCCAAGTAGCTCAGCTGAAAGTCTTGAGTGTTGGGATGGTCTTTAAAATCAGCTAGCCCTGCCCATGTTTGACAGTGAGTTGTGACCCAAGTAATTTTAATGTTGGAGACCCTTTTGGGGGCTGTCTGCTGACAGAGGGGTGGAACATCCCAGCCCCTAACTCCTCTCTTTTCCAACCCCAGGCTCTCTGGTGCGTCCCAAAGTCGTCCGGAGTGTCCATTATTGCCCAGCTACCAAGAAAACAATTGAGCGCCGATACACCGACATGACCTCCCTGGATGCTTTCCCATCCAGCTCCATCTACCCTACAAAGGTGAGGTGAAGCAGCAGCAGGTTCCTCTAGGGAGAATGTGCCAGCTTCAGTATGGAGCTGGTGAGCCCCAGCCTCTAGTCCTGCTAAACAACCCTTTCCATCAGCCCTGTGCAGGGTGGATGAGGCAGTGTCCTCCCTGCTCTCCTGAAAAATGGTGCTCATCTTTTAATTTGGGTTCCCGCTTTAGGATGAAGAGAACAACCCGCTGGAGACAGAGTTTGGCCTCTCTGTCTACAAGGACCACCAGACCATCACCATCCAGGAGATGCCTGAGAAAGCCCCAGCAGGGCAGCTGCCACGCTCGGTGGACGTGGTTCTGGACGATGACCTGGTGGACAAGGTGAAGCCTGGGGACCGCATCCAGGTGGTGGGGACGTACCGCTGCCTGCCGGGGAAGAAAGGGGGCTACACTTCAGGCACTTTCAGGTGGGTCTTCATGGGGCTTCAGTCCTCTAACCCTGTTTGGCTGGGTCTCTGGCAGGTGAGATCTGGCAGGTGGTCATCAGAGAGTTGGGTCAAAAGTGGCTTAAATCACTTGGAAGTAGTTTGCACCTTGGTACTATTTACAAGATATGCCATGTTGGAAAGGACCTACAAAGATCACTGAGTCCAACTCCTGGCCCTTCACAGGACATCCCATCAGTGCCACCTTGTGCAGCCCTGGGAGCGTTGTCCAAACTCTCCTGGAGCTCTGGCAGCCTTGGGGCTGTGACCATTCTTTGGGGAGCCTGCTAAGTTTAAAAGATACTCCAGTGATGGTCCAGCACAGTCAGATCAAGAATGCTACAGCTGTCAAAGCTTCCCACCCCCTTCCAGGGCTTCCTAGAGCAAGTGGTGGCCCTGTGGAAGCTTCTGCTTTGTCTCTGTGGGGTTTGCAGAGCTGACCACAGCTGTGTCCCTTCTCCAGGACCATTCTCATTGCCTGCCACGTGAAGCAGATGAGCAAAGACCTCCGGCCTCTCTACTCTGCTTCAGACGTGGCCAAGATCAAGAGATTTAGCAAGAGCCGCTCCAAGGTATCTAAGTCTTGTGTCCAGGCATGAAGTTTCAGCTTGGCATGTGGCCAAGCAGGTTCTTGTTGGGTTGCAAGTAGCTCTTCAAGCCTCTTAGCAGGTTGTTGGGTTATCTTACTAATTTTCTTTCAATTTTCTGCTTGGACTGTGATCAGACCCTGTTGTTTTTCTTGCTGCTTCTGTACTGCTTGCTGAACATCCTTCCTGCTGGCAGCTCTGCTGTGTCTTGACCCTCCCAGCAGGTTTCCAGGGAATTTGCCCTGCAGGAGAAGCACCTCTTTTCTCATGCCAGACTGAGGCAATGGGGTTCTGCCCCAGCCTCTCATGCTCAAAGCTTTCCTTTGTAGCACAGAGAGTAGCAAGCCTTGGTCTCACTGCTTCCAGTGCTTGTTTGGGTGACAGTGACAAGATGGTCCTGGACTTCATATAAATCCCACTGTGAAAGAAAACTCTGGGCAACAGTCTTCTCCTTTCCAAATAATTTTCATCCATGTGGCTCTGTGATAGGAATAAGCTGAAAATTGGGCTGAAATGCTATTTTGAAGTATTGCTTGTTCTTGCTTGCTCCAGTCCATGTGATGAGCTGTGCTCTGTGTTTTCCATGGTTCTAGGGGATTCCATGACCTCTGTGAGCCATTATCCCAGTGTTTGCCCATAGTCAAGGAGACTTTTTTTTATTTCTGATGTCTCATTGGAGTTTCCTATATTCTGAATTCTCCCCATTGCCTCTTGTCCCATCCCCATCACCTCAAGTCTCTTATCTCCATCTTCTCTATTTCCTCCCAGGGGTTTATTGATGATAGTGGGAAGATCATCTGCTTACCTTATTTTATGAAGTCTGAACAAAACCCTTCTGTCCCCTTTCCCCTCCACCTGTCCCCACTCTGAACACCCCCAAACCAGACACAGGGTGATGGTGCAGTTATATCCAGGGGATGAGTTATTCCTAAACATGCCATTCTCCATCCCAGGAGACCCTTCTGTGGCCAAATCCCAGCTGCTGAGGTACGTGCTGAGCACAGCACCCCGCGCCATCCCCACCACTGGCAGGGGCTCCTCTGGTGTCGGCCTCACCGCTGCCGTGACCACAGACCAGGAGACAGGTGAGGAGCACTGGGGTGATGGCTGTTAACTGCTGGCAGGGACTCTGTGACATCCAAGGCTGCTCATCTCGATGATCTGGGAGGTCTTTTCCAACCTTAATGATTTTATGATCTTGGTTCTGCAGTGACACTTGCAGGACCTGCTCCACCAGAAGCTTTATGTTTAACGTTATTTGGATCGTGGGATCCCGTGTTTTGGGATATTTTCTCCACCTCTCTTAGGTGGTGGTTTTCTTTACTCTTCTTCCACTTGGTACCACATCGAAGGGCTAGCAGCAGCCTTCCTCATGGGAAGACATTCCTAACCATGATCCTCACCCTAAGCATTCTGTCTGCTGTAGAATTGGGTCAGAGAGCAACCCAGAAGGATTCTGCTGCACCTTGAGGTTCACCCTCATCCCAGGGCTGATGGGTATGGCCGGGCAGGAGATGTGTAGGGCCAGTGGGGGGTGGCTGACCCTCTTTTCCCCCGTCCCATCCCAGGGGAGCGGCGCCTGGAAGCAGGAGCCATGGTGTTGGCCGACAGGGGCGTGGTGTGCATCGACGAGTTCGACAAGATGTCCGACATCGACCGCACGGCCATCCACGAGGTGATGGAGCAGGGACGGGTCACCATTGCCAAGGCTGGCATCCAGGCCCGCCTCAACTCCCGGTGTAGCGTCCTGGCTGCTGCCAACCCCGTCTACGGCCGGGTGAGTGCTGGTGTTACCCTTCCCTGGAGAAGGGAGGAGGCAGCTGGTGAATTCCAAAAGATCCCCCAAAGCAGTGACTTGGGTGCATGGCACAGCAAAGACCTTGTGGGTTTGGTGTCTGTCGTGATCATGGCTTTGCTGGAGAAGAGAGGAGCTCCTGGGTTTTCTCACCATGTTTTGGGTGTTTGGGCAGCCCATTGGACCCTCATGCTGGTGATGAGCCTCAGTCTTGGTGTCTGATCAGGGATCACAAAAAATACTTATTTTCCTTGGAAATAAAAGCCTTGCAGGAAGGGGAAAGTGGCTGTACTGCTGCAGCAGGCTGGGTTTGGTGTGGTGTCCGTCCATCCATCCGTCCATCCATCCATCCTTTTAGGCCTGGCCCAAGGAGGTCCTCCCAACCTCCCTGGCAGCCAGGACTGGCCAGTGAGGCTCTCCTGTAACCCCTCATGCTGTCCTTCCCCCCAGTATGACCAGTACAAGACGCCCATGGAGAACATTGGCATGCAGGACTCCCTTCTCTCCCGTTTTGACCTGCTCTTCATCGTGCTGGACCAGATGGACGCCGAGCAGGACAAGGAGATCTCAGACCACGTCCTGCGGATGCACCGCTACCGCAACCCCAACGAGCAGGATGGCGATGGTGAGTCCCAGCCCTCCTCAGCCAAGCCACCCCTTGGTGACAGCTCTTGGGGACTATTAGATGTTGTTTCAGAGGGTAAAATCCTATTCTCTGTACATTCCCCTTTCCAGCCATGCCTCTGGGCAGTGCTGTGGAGATGCTGGCTACGGATGACCCTGACTTCCTGCAGGAGGAGGAGCAGGAGCTGCAGGTCTATGAGAAACATGATGACCTCCTGCATGGGCCCAACCGCCGCAAGTGAGTCCTTCATCCCCTGGGGCTCCCTGAGGGTGTCCAGCACTGTGGGTTCATGGGTTTGGCCTGAGTATCCAGACAGTGCCAGCGATGCTCCAGCTGATCCATGGGTAGGATGCTAAGGGAGCCTTGCTTGGTCTCTTGTGCCAGGCAGGTGAGGAACATCTGGAGCTAAATTCCCTACACACCTGGATGCCCCTGGAGGGGTATAAATGGATGGGAAGCCCATCCCCACTGTGGCTAATGTGGATGTACGTGCATTCCCACAGGGAGAAGGTTGTCAGCATGGAGTTCATGAGGAAGTACATCCACGTAGCAAAGATGATCAAGCCCGTGCTGACCGAGGAGGCGGCGAGCTACATCGCTGAGGAATATTCCCGCCTGCGCAGCCAGAGCCAGATGAACTCGGACATAGCCAGGGTGAGCCCTGGGAGCAGCTCCTTCTTGGGCCAGGAGGAGGGAAACTGAGGCACAGGCCTCTCTTCTTATGGGTGTTTTCCACCTTGGCCTTGTGAGGCTCACACAGACACCTCTCTCTGTCCCCCCAGACCTCTCCCATCACAGCCCGGACCCTGGAGACCCTCATCCGCCTCTCCACAGCCCACGCCAAGGCCAGGATGAACAAGACTGTGGATATGCAGGATGCTGAGGCAGCTCTGGAGCTGGTGCAGTTCGCCTACTTCAAAAAGGTGGGGGGAAAGTGTCCCTCTGTTCCCAGGGGATCCTGAAATTGTCATTGAAAAGGCTGGACGAGGTGCAAGCTGAGCACCTTGGGCTGCTGATGTGAACTTCCCTGGACCCAGTGTGGGATCAGGCCACCACTTCAGGATTTTGGGTGGTGCCTAAAAGCAGCTTGAGTGAAAATGAGGTCTGAGTCCATCCTGCCTTTGCCACACAGGTGCTGGAGAAGGAGAAAAAGCGCAGGAAGCCAGTGGATGATGACTCGGAGACTGAGAAAGAGGAAGATCAGGAGTTGCAGGACAAGGAGGAGCACAGGACGAAGAGGTAGGAGCCACAGCACGGGAATGGGAGGAACATGGTGCAAAGGGCACTAGCCTCTTCTGAGGTTGCCATGTTTTTGCTCAGCCAGGTGGTTTGTCCCACCCCATTTGTAGTAGAGGGACATTTAATGGATAAAGAACTGGCTGGATAGTACTGGCACAGGGTGCCCAGAGAAGCTGTGGCTGCCCCTGGATCCCTGGAAGTATCCAAGGCCAGGCTGGACAGGACTTGGAGTAACATGGGATAGAAGAAAGTGTCCCTGCCCATAGCAGAGGGTGGAACAGGATGATCCTTAATGTCCTTTCCAACCCAAACCCTTGGGTGACCCCTCCTTCCCCTCCCAGAAGGAAGAAGGCACGCACGGAAGGCGAGGAAGGCTCCTACGACCCGTACGACTTCAGTGATGCTGAGGAGGAGATGCCACAGGGTGAGTCCCTGCATTTAGTGACACCTGGCTCCTTGAGGGTGTTGCTGGGTCTGCACAGCCTGGGGAGCAGCAATGCTGCTGTTACCTGTGGTCCCTGGCATGGTACAGTACCATTCAGAGCCACAGATCCATGTGGGACAGGGTTAGATGGGATATTAGGAAGAAGATCTTGGCTGTGAGGGTGGTGAGCCCTGGCACAGGTTCCTGAAGAAGCTGTGGCTGCCCTTGAATCTGGGAAGTGTCCAAGGCCAGGTGGGATGGGCCTTGGAGCAACCTTGGATAGTGGAAATTGTCCCGTAACAGGGGTTGGAACTGAATGATCTTTAAGGTCCCTTCCTACCCAAACCATTCTGTGATTCTATTGCTGATTAACTTTTTTCCATCCACCTCCAAACCACAGCATAAATTACAGTACTGGGAGGCAGTTTGGCATCACCCCCCCTCCTGAGCCCAACACTTTTGCCCTCTGGGTTGTTGGTCACCAGGCTCAGGCTGAAGGTAACGCTTCCTTCTGCTCCAGTTCAGGCACATCCTCCGAAAACCCCCGAAGCCTCGGGAGCTGGTGAAGGGAAGAAGTTGGAGTTGGCTGAGCCAAGGTGAGTGGGGGCTGTCCCTGTGTGCCCACCTCCCCCCAGTGGCTCCAGGCTGTTGTCCCATCCTGGAGATGATGCTCCCAGCTCCAGCTTTTGACTTTCCTACTGAGCGCTGCTGCTGGAATGGGGAAGGGCTGAGGCATCCAGGTTGGGAACAAGCGGTAGGATTTTTGTGTATTCTCCAAGGGTGATTCCTTCTCCTCTGACCAGGTTGAAAGCATTCAAGGCTGCTCTCCTGGAGGTGTTCAAAGCCTCCCACGCCCAGTCCGTGGGCCTGAAGAAAGTGATGGAATCCATCAACCATGACAACCCCGAGCCCTTCTCGGCGGCCGAGGTGAAGGTGGCCCTGGCCCACATGCAGGATGACAACCAGATCATGGTGTCTGATGACATTATCTTCTTAATCTGAGCCTCTGAGTGGAGGAGCCCAAGTTTTTCGTGGACTCTCAGCCTGGAGATTCTTCGTGTTTGAGTGCTTCAGGTGGCTGAGCTGGATTTTGGGGAGCTGAAGTCTGTGCGCTTCCTTGCTGTGCATTTCTGGCACTAAAGAAAAGAGCCAGGAGCTCTGGAAGTTTTGCTGTCTTCAGAGTGGAGATTTGGAAAGAGGTTTCTGCAAGGAGACAAAAGGAAAAACTCAGGAGGAAATTATCAGTGTTTTTAATGTATTGTTTTTAGCTTTGGTGTTAAGACTTCCAGCTTTTAAATAAAAAAATCTGGATTTAGGAATACAGAATTCAGTAGTGGTGATGAGAACCAATATGAGAGCTCCACTGTTAATGAAGCTTTTATTTCCCCCCTTCGTTTTTTTTTTCTGTTTTTCCCCTATTATATAGCTTAGATCTGCTTGTCTCACAGGAAGAGGTGCCTAAAGCCTGTCCTGTTGGTTCTGCCCTTCCCACCCATCTTGTGGAGGATGATTCCTGGCAATGGAGAGCCCGGCGTAGTCTGATCTGTTCCACTGCCCATGGGTCAGCTGGAATTTCCAGATTTCACACCCATGATGGGGGTTTTTACCCCCAGGGAGGGAACCTGGCAGGTCTCAGAGCTGCCTAGTCTGATCTGTTCCACTGCCCATGGGTCAGCTGGAATTTCCAGAAGGAACCTGGAAGGTCTCAGAGCTGCCCAGGGAATGTGTCCCTGGCACAGATGGGTTCCATCTCCTCCTGCTCCTGCCTTCAGTCTGGGATTGTGTCCTGGGGATGGCAAACTTTCAAAAAAAGCTGAACACACAATCAGACCAGTTCTGGCTGCTTGTGGTCCAGAGCTGCTGAAGGTTTGGGTTTTTCTTTAATTTCTTTTTCTTTTGTCTTTGTGAGTTTGAGCTTCGGAGAAACCCCTGAATAGGTTTGCTGTTTTCACTGCCTATCTCCAGAAACTTGCACAGCTCCCTTCTTTCTGGGTGCCATAAATCTTTATTTGGGTTCTAAAAATGTCCATACTGTTCACCCCATGACTGGCTGTTCAGGGGGATGTAGGATTCCCACTTGTGAGGGTACAACTGCACTTACACAGGTGAGATTTGTGCTGCTGTGGAAGGACTTCAGCTGCATGGTGAGCTCTAAAAGCCAGATTTTTGAGCTCCTCCCATGCAACACAGCCATGACTGCATGGTTGGAGGGGATTTTGCATGTCTGCAACCTAAAGATCTCTGGGTGGGTGTATTGTGCTGGTACAGAGCAATTGACCTTCAGGCAGGGTCTGGCTCAAAACTGCAAAAACTGATAGAAGTTAAACACAGATTCTCTGCTCTGGAGATGGGATGGGAGAGCTGGGATGGTTCAGCCTGGAGAAGGATCTGGAGAGACTTAAGAGCCCCTTCCAGTGCCTAAAGGGGCTCCAAGAGAGCTGGAGAGGGACTTGGGACAAGGCATGGAGGGACAGGACAAGGGGAATGGCTTCCCACTGCCACAGGGCAGGGATAGATGGGATACTGGGGAGAATTTTTTTCTTGTGAGGGTGGGGAGGCCCCTGAATCCCTGGAAGTATCCAAGACCAGGTTGGATGGACCTTGGAGCAAGCTGGGATAGTAGAAGGTGTCCCTGCCCATTCCATAATTCCATGATTTTGTGTTTTCCCTGCCCTTACAGTTGGGGAACTGCTAATACTGAATTTCCCGTGAGAGGACACCAGGAGGAGCTCCAGGGTAGAGAAATCTGGTTAATTCCCTGTCCTGTAGGCTGTGGGTGACTACCATCCCCCGTGTGCTGGTGGCCACCTCGGTACATCCTTTGCAGTTGGGAGAGGGGTCTTTGTTGGCAAGGGAAAAACTGCCAGAGGTGGCTGGAGAGGCAGGAGCAATCTGCTGGAAGTACAAGCCGTGTCCTGTGCTGCAGCTGAAATTTTTATTTGACCCTGTCATCTGGAGATTTTGGAGGCTGTGATTTCAGCCTTTAGCTGCTGCAGGCTGTGGAAGGTGTCCCTGCCCAAGCAGGGGGTGGGACTGGATGGTCTGTAAGGTTCTTTCCCACCCATATTATTCTGTGGTTCAATCATCCATGGAAACCTGAACTTAAGTGTGTAACATATCCTGCAGTGCAAACAGTGCTGTTTCCTTATAGGAACTCAAGAGTAGAGGAGTTCTTGTAAGTGGAATTAAAATACTCTTTTACCTCCAAGTCCCCATCCCTGCTCCAAGCCCTTGATGTGTGAGAGGGAAAAGCTTTTTGGGACAACTTTATATTCCTGTCTACAAGGAAAAAAAAATCTTCCCTGTGAGGATGGGGAGGCCCTGGCACAGGTTTCCCAGAGAAGCTGTGGCTGCCCCTGGATCCCTGGAAGTGTCCAAGGCCAGGCTGGATCAGGTTTGGAGCAGCCTGGGATAGTGGAACTGTGTGATCTTTAATTTCCCTTCCCACCAGATCCATTCTGTGATTCTAGGAATAAAAATATTTTTCCTCCCTTAAAATGATTCATGTATGGTGGCCTCTTTTTGATTAAATTTTTTTTAGTTAACTTCAACTCAAGTTCAATTGTAGGAAATTCTGGGTCAAAGAGGGAATCCCTGCTGAAGTTACAAGCTGCTGAAGACACAAGAAGTCAGTGGAAAGTGGCGGTGAGGGTTCATAATCCGGTGTTTGGTGTGATAACGTCATTGCTTCGTCACATGTTACCATTTCCACTCAACCCCGTTCCTGCACAATCCAACCCATTTTCATGGCAGTGCCCTTTCCTTTCACGTTGAACATTCAGGGGGGAAAAAAAGGAGGTCAGCTTCTGGGCTAAAAAAAGTAGATTTCTGGTAATTCTACCCTCTCTTGCTCCTCCACGCTCTGTGTCGCATCTCAGTAGATGCGCTGGTGAATATTTGGGACAGTCAGAATAGGAACGTGTGTCACAGCACTGGTGTTGCCTCAGGTGGACTGGGTAACCTGAAATGTGACAAATGTACAGGAGGAGAGTGGCTGGGCTCTGAGCTGTCGGTTGAACCAGACCACAAAGTCATGACAGCATCCTGCAGTGATGTAAAACATCAGTCAGTGGAGATTTCTGCTGCTGTGATTCAAGAGAGGGTGACAAAGCAGAGACCATCAGTCCCTTCTTCTTGGAAAGTTCTGTGAATTTGTAAGAGGTTTCTGATTTTTTTTTTTTTTTTTTTTTTTTGGTAGGACTGAAAATGTCATGAATCTTGATTCCCTGTATGACTGAAGATGAATTTGTGTGAAGTCCTACACTTTAGTCCTTTGCTTCTGGCTTGGCTACATAGCTTTGGGAAAGGTTTCTCTCAGGGCTTTTCTCCACAAATGAGCTTCATCAAGTTGTTATGTGGTGGTTTTTTTTCCCTTTTTTTTTTTTTTCTCCTTTTTTCTTTTTTTTTTCTTTTTTTCTGCCACAAAAATAGCTTTTACCCCCAAAGAGACCTGCTGGTGCTCCAGGGAAACACCACATGCACCAACTTCCCAGTTGGTGGCTGCTCCTTTTTGTTTTCCCTTCCATTTTCATGCCTGCCTCTCCTATTAATTATTAAGTGAGGATTGTGTGATTGAGAGGGATTAAATCTTCCATGAACACAAAGGATCAGGACCAGAAGCTCCTGACCCAGCTCTTTCCGGGCTGTTCAAGGATGATGGTCAACCCAAGTCCCACCATATCCCACATGAATGAGTCCCACCAGACAAATCAGGAGAGGCTTTCCTCACACCACCTTGCTGGCTACAGGGCCATGGGACTTATTAGAGTGCTTTGGGATTGTACAAGACTTATGGGATGTACAGGAGCAGGAGCAAAGTGGGCAAAGGAAAGGATAAAGGTGGATCAGTAAGAAACTGTGTGTATGGGCGTGCTATGGATATCAAGGTGGACTAGCTCCGGATTATTCCATAAGTCTGGGCCCCTCATGCTCCAGCATTCACCACCATGTATGTCCAAGGAGCCCATCCAGCAGAAATGCTGCTCCTAGGTGCACCCAGTTTACAGGGCCAGAGAAGGGACAAGAGACCAATATTCCAAGGGCACAGCTCTGGCAGGGAGGTCAAAGCTGAGCCAGGATGGAGCTCCTGGTGAAGGTGGCCAGGGCCCTAAAAGAGCATTTATGTGTGTTCAGAGTTCTCCACAATGTGTCACCACAGCAGGGAAGGCATCCCAGCTCCTGGGATTTCCCCTGAAGGAATTCCCCATGGCACTTATTCTTCCCCTGCCCAGTCCCTGCAGGATACAGGGATCCCTAAGACAAAGTGGGTGCCGATTTTGCAGTTGAAGGGAAGTTGAGTGGTGAGGTTCCATGCCCATTTTGACACCCTATTGGGTGTCTGACTTTGCAGCTCGCTGATCTCTGCTGTTTGGCTTGTTTGAGGCACGTGGAAGTGCATCCACCTGAGTTTGTGGTGAAAAACTCTATTATTAGAAAGAGGGCGGTGGAAAGGAGTGAAAAAAAAAACCCACCAAAAAACACCTGCCTAAACAGTTTGTTGGTTTTTTTTTTTCTTTCCTTATCTCTTGATCTGCCTAAATAAATGCTATTGGCTAATTTGGGATGCTGGTAATAGTATTTGCCCTTCCCTTTTTTGGAGGTAGATGGGAGGAAGTGGGCTAAAAATTGCACTATCAGCTCCTAACCTCAGATCAGGTAAGCCAGCTGTGCTGCAATGGAAAGGGTGGCAGTGCCTCAGCTTTGCTATAAAATGGAGAGCACAACTGGCTTTGAGACACAAGCAGGGTTGAAAGGGTCTCAGAGAAGAAGAATTCTCTTGTCCTGTTGCCCTAACACCCAGCAGGGAGGTTACCATGGCTTTCAGCAGCTCTGCTGGGGTAAGTACTTACATCTGAAATAAAGGATAAGATGTATTTGCTGCAAGAGAGAAAGCAGGGTGCAGATCTCCTGATTTGTGCAGAAAACCCTTTTAGTCTCGCTGGGAGCTGGTTGGGATGCTGGGTGTGTCTGATGCAGCTGCTTGGTGATTGAGTGACAAGGCTGTGGTGGACTATCCATGAATTATTTATCTCTCACTCATCAGCACTGCTGATGTGGGATTGGCAGAGTCCTTTTTGCAGACAACATGTCACCAAAACTGCTGAAATTTCACGGTGGATACCTATGCATTTGAATTTCAACCTGGGTAGCATTTGCAGCACTGTCAGCTCCTGTGATTTTCTTAAAAGCCCGGCATTTATTTTGTCTTCTTTTTAGGAACTGGACTTAATGATCTTTCTGGTTTCCTTTCCATTTAGGATATTACATGATTCTATTATTTACTAAAACTCTGCCTACTGGAAATGGCCCAAGAATCCCA